GCCTCCTTCGTCTGCCCGTTGGCCCGGTACGCACCAGCAAGGGCATGCTGCGATGTCAGCCGGTCTGGGTGAGCCTCTGCCAGCGTAGTCTCCCGCACCTTGACGACGTGCTCTAGCAGCCCTACAGCCTGCTTCGCGTGGCCTAAGTAACTTAGGTTTCTCGCCACGAGGTCCCATATCCGTGTGTGCTCTCGTGACGGATCTGACGGAGTGATTTCAAGGACCTTAAAGATGCCCTTTAGTAACGACTCTAGCTTCTTGTCTTCCCTCATCCTATTCAACGCCCATCCACACCTTAGCAAGATAGGCAATATCGTTCCCGGCGGGCCAAAAAAAATGGTCTCTTCAACGCCAGGCAACAGGAATGACTGCATGTGTGGCCGCAACTGCCTCTCGTACACTTGCCACGTCTCTGACTCGCTGCGTGACAGTGCAAGAATACATCCTGCGCTCACCCACGCTGCTCGCTGCTGCTTCTGATCTAGCCGGTCTTTCGCCCACGCGTGCGCCAGTGGATGCATTGACAGTCCGTCCAGGTCATCTGAGTGGTGTCCTGTCACCAGCGAAAGCGACGCAAGGAGAGCGCTGGCTCTGTTAAGCCGGTAATCGTCCCACTCGTCGGCTTGTTGGTCGATGAACTCTGGCAGCTGAGACACGTGCCACTGTCTAAGATCGTCCATCTCGTCAGTCTGGCTGTCGTCGGTCTTAATCACATCTCGAGCTCCACCCCATGCGCCTCGAAAGACGTCACGTGGCAGCACGCTAGAGTGCAGCATAGAGAGAACCCTAAGCAAGTCTAGCGCGTCTCGGCCTACCTCATCCTCAGAATCGGCCAGCACCCCGACGGACGCTTCAAACGTCGCGTAAACATGCCGGTACCGTGACTGCTGCTGCTTCGGATAGTGCTTTAGCAGCCGCTCGCGCAGCCGCTTATACTTTTCCGCATACTGGTCTAGTCGACAGTACTTCTCTGCAATGTACGCCCCCGCCTGGATTAGCGCAAGCGTATGTGATCCTAGCAACTGCACGACAGCCTGCGCCTGCTCTTTGCAAGCCTGCCATGATGCTTCTAGCACACGCGCAGCTTTAAGCAGAAGCTGCATCGAGTCCTCTTCCTCTAGACCTTCGAGCGCTTCCGTAGGCAGCGTGCTATACTGGCTGCACTCAGGCACACGCGACGTCATGATCACTGCGCCTTGCGCCCCAGACGGAACGTATGCTGTGTAGTCGAACGCTGGGTTATCGGCGTTGTCTAGGATCAGCAGCCAGCGGTCAGGCGTGTTGGCGAGCACCTGGAGCGATTCCTCAACGCTCTCTGCAGGCGACCCGAGCGCCTTCGCGATGGCTAAGAAGCCATTCTTAGCTATTGATGGGCTGCTGACGTCGACCCAGAACACGCCCCAGAAGCTGTTCGCTGTTAGCAAACACGCTTATATCTAGCATAGCAAAGCTGCAACACACTCTTCTCGCACTAGGCTTGCCACCTTAAGGCATACCTCGCTCTTGCCTATGCCGCCTATGCCTGTGATGACCAGACGCTTCTGCTCGAGTGTGCCTGGCTCGTTGTTGCGCAATGCGCTCTGGATCCGATCAACAAGCTCTGACCGCCCAGTAAATAGACTATTAATTAGACGAGGTACTATCCAGTGCACGTTTTTAGCTGTCTACATTTTAGCACTAGGATGCGCAACGTTAGATACACACTACCTACGCCTATAACGTTGTGCAATGTAGCGCTCAGTAAACTCCTATGCAAACTTAGTAGATTGACTACACTTTAGGCTCAAGATAGTGCTTACACGAATAGATATTGCAAAAGACAACTCTGCTCTATCTATACAAAGTCAACACTAGATTGCTCTATATACTAGGCAAAGTCCTCAATATACACACTCTGCTTCTGCTGTAGGTTCTTGATGCAGTCCCGCACCCGGAGCTTCTGTGCCATGTGCGTGAGATACCCCTCCGAAGCAGCTTCAATAGCGCCCTTCTTCTTATACTCCTCTAGTCCGATGTTCTGTAGTCCCTGCTCAACGTTAAAGCGGAAATACCGCTTCTCGTCGAAGTGCTTGGCCCACCGAGCGATAAACTTCCTCTCGGTTGCCTCTGTCTCAGTTGCAATCTGCACCACTGTCTCACTTAAGAACTTAGGCAGACCGTCCTCGAACGGCTTCTTGCCTGGGTTACCGGTCCCAATAGAAATGAAGCACTTGACTAGCGGCTTTAAGTCTCCCGTTTCCGAGCACCAGATATTAGCTGCTTCTCCTTCCACCTCGTCTACTGGGTTGTTCGCACCAAAGCCGCCGTCAGCAAAGCTACGGTCTCCAATGCTAACCGGGTTGAAGAAGGTGGTGGCAGCAGACGTTGCAAGGGCAGCTTTACATACGGTCGCACGGACGGCTGGCTCATGAGGGAGGCTATAGTCTCGGAGACGAACCATGTCCTTTGTGTCGCGGTCGATAGAGCATACAAAGCTATTCTCGTCAAAATCTGAGCTCTGAGCACAAGTTGAATGTCACTTACGTTCTACACCCTCGCTCCACCCCGTCGTTGAACAAGGCGGTCTCAGACGCACCGCTTTGGGCTACCACATTTCGAATCGCATTCTCCAGTCTCCCTGAGTCGAATCGCGACTGAACTGCACCCCTGATAGTGACTGGAAGCCGGTGCAGTTTCTCGCCAAACACGTCTGCAGCGAGCTCGCTGTATGCGTCTATGCATTCGTCGACGCTCATCTCGAGCCGGCCAAGCATGATGGCAATCAGTCTGTTGTGGCCATATCAGTCCCGCTCGATAAGCAGCATGTCTACTCACCCGCCAGTGCTGGTCCCCCCGATGAGGTCAAACACCTCGCATGGCCTCAGTGGAGGATCCTTCTTGAGCTCTCGGCTCAGTCGGTCCATGATGCTCTTTAAGATGTAGAGCGTTGACAGGCCGCGTACGCCGCCGCCATCGAGCGACAGCAGGCACAGGCCAGTGGTGTCGAGCAGGTTGGGTTCGCCGCCGTGCTGGGTCGCGACGCGCTGTGCCATGGCGCTGTTTCGTGATAAGATGTGCTTGTTGGTTGTAGACCGTGCCAGGACAGGTCGACGGCAGACACATAGCGAGCGTCCATGGTGGGCGAGGGGCCTTTCTGTGGGCTGGCAACAAGGCTGGCAACAAGGCTGGCAACAAGGCTGGCGGCTGAGCTGCGGGATGTGCGCTGCGGGATGTGCGCTGTGCAGCAGGCGGCGCAGACGGCGCCCCGCCAGTGGTGTTACGAAGCGCCGGCACGGCTGCCACACCCGCCCCTAGTCGCCCCAGCTGTTCGCCCAAGAAGTGCTAGAAGGATCTGTGCCGAGTAATATCCGAGTGGTACACAGGGCTGTGCAGGCGACGATTACATAACAATACCACCGCATCCACTTTCGTCGCTCTCGTAGGTCGCTTGTACCTCCCTCTGTAGAGGAGACCAGCTTTACAATATATATGCAGCTACAAGAAGCTTTAATGTTAGATAGATACTTTAAGCATTCTTGTAGCACATATTACGCTATTTTTTAGAAAGTAGAAGGCCAAGTTGGCGGCGTTGTAGCAATCGTTGTGTTGCGTAGCTATTGAAGGTTAATTGCAAACTAAGCAGCACAGCAATAGACATAGTGTAATTTTATAAAATAGTTTATTGTAAAGCTAGAGAATTGCTTTTAAGTAATATTATATGATTTATAGCTATAGAGATCTTGTAGAGAAAGTGCAAAGCTGAAGCAAAGTCAAAGTACCTGTCGTTCCTATCGCGACGCAGGGGTCTTTCGCTTCGCAGGGGGGGAGGTTACTCGCCAAATCAGTAGACAGAGATATCAGTCTAGCGATCGTATCTAGGCATCTAGTCGCAATATGAAAACCGGCAATTCTCTAGGGTCTTTGGAGTACGCTCGGGAGCAGAAAAATTAGGAAAAAAGTACTGGATGCAAAAATATCGGAAACCTCTAATTAAACAGTGCCGAGAGTTCAGCCCAAGATTCCCATTCTTCCAGAGGATGTCCTGGCTCCGTTAAACAGCTCTATATTTAGAACACGAATGGACGAAGATTCTGAATCATCTGAAGGTGCATCATGAGGCTATGGATGAGTCTACGCGCGCTCAAGTTATTCTGAAGTTGCACCATCTTGGTATACAAGAACAGCAGACAGACCCTAGGTACTAGACGAATATATCACCATTTGGCGACAGTTGCACGACCTAATGCTTTCCAGCAGATGGAAGCTTTATACTACATATGCTCACAGCCCCACTAGCTGAAAGTATACATAGATTAGCGGGTGGGTAGAGGTTGGGTAAGGGATGAATGGTTATAATCGAGCTCGTGCGTACGCCACGTGTTCTTTTGTTGAACTTACTAAACAACATCCTGATTGAATTATTGCTAGCGTATATTTATGCTACCTAAGAAGGCCATCTTATTTAAGAAGAAACCTTTTCACAGGATCTGTATGTTATCTACTACACATCTGCTACACAATGTATGTGGTGCGCATCTTGCTAGCATCCTTAACAACTACAGTTCGAGCTCACATGTCATTATGGTATCCGCCCCCTCTCGGAGGCAGTATGGAAGCCAACTCTTTGACAACGCAAGTGGACAAAGAATTCAATTTTCCGATTGGATGCTGCGATTCTCAGGGTGAAACAACATTACCCTCTCCTGGCGATTGTCGTGGTCATCTTGACCTTCTAGATACAGAGGAAGGCAGACCGCAAGTCACATGGGAACCTGGCCAGGACGCCTACTTTGAGTTATCCGACCACATGTATAGTATCGGTGTTCCAGGATCAACTCACTATGGTGGAAGCTGCCAGGTTGGATTCTCCGTGGACAGAGGTCAGACATGGAAAGTCGCAGCTTCATATCATGGGAACTGCCCTCACAGAGATAAGGACATGCCACAAGTCTTTAAATTTAAGGTCCCTTTAAACATACCAACAGGTATTGCAGTCTTTGCTTGGATCTGGTTGAACCGTGAGCACGAGTTTTTCATGAACTGTGCAGCGGTTCAAATTTGCTCGAGCGCTAGGAGTACCACCACGCGCACTCATACAAGCTTTGAAACTGTTCCTACAACACATTATACTGCAATACTAGATCCTACTAGCGAATCACAAAGAGCAGGTAAACAAGACAGATCTGACGGCTACGATAAATACTCGACAAGCCGCAGCAGTTCGTACGGTGCAAAGCTGGCTAGACGTAAGTGGAGATATATTAAACATCGTCATAGTGGGAAGCATTCCTGGCACAACTACCATATTCACAAATCCAATATCTTAGCATCGCCTGAAGAGCTCCGTCGCAGGTCAGAAAACCCAGCTTTCGATGTTTGCGATTGGAACACCGCACCCAGGATGGAAACAAGCTACTATTCTGTAGATGCGAGATGTGCACCTAACGCTAAGCTGAAGAACCTAAAGAGTGATGACTTTGAAATTGGCTGGGTCGATGTCTGCGGCGTCGTTGAAGGAGACCAAGAGTACACTATTCAGAATATTGAGTGTTAGGGATAGAGTCCTAGCAGGCTTATGAAGATGCTTTCTTAGTCCTTTTTATGGCAAAAAATAAAATTCAAATAGTACAAGTCAACTAATCTAGCGATGGAACGGCTAACATCGTCCATACATGCATCATTTGATTCTCCCCTGCGCCTCCTAGGTGATATCTTATTTAAAGACTTTGTGTTATCTTTTCGATTATGCTAATGTACATAAAATACAACTGATCGCCTGTATTTGTACATATTAGCAAAGAAAGCATAGTTAATACACAACCCCCTTGTACAAGAAGCATTCGCAATACTTTCCAGTTACGAGCACATCGCTGAGAAAGATGGCTATCCAAGATGGCTGTTGTACTTCTCGTGAATATATCTGCAGCTTTGTGCGGATGATACGGGACTTCAAGTTCCGTCGCGGTGAATGTTGATGGAGCAGTTTGACATACTGCAGCTGTAATGACACCGAACCGGTCAAGTACATAGTCAACTGGCAGATCGGATTCGGCAATTGTCTCATACTTCAAAGTATATGCTCTGCGGCCTTTCTTTTCAAAATCGGTTTTGCCTTTCCAAGTAATAAGGTGCTCCAAGTCAACCAGGTAGAAAGGGTTCGATGTCTTTCTTAGAAAACGCCCTTCTGCAATTCTTCTCAAAAGTAGCTGGTTAAGCTTAACCCGGGCGTCTTCCCAGACAGGATGTTGAGAAGCAGCAGCTGCAAGTACATCACAGTACTTGAGTCCCATTGAAGCCCACTCATAGTATTGAACCTTATCCATGCCCCAGTATTTGGCTGTCTTAACAAGCGGAGCGAGACACTGCTTACTCATCCGTATCTTAGATTGTGCCGTGTTGACGAACTGCTCCCATTGTTTCGCGTCGAAAAGAGAGTCTAGCTGCGGTTGCTCGTTCTTCTTATATTGAGAACATTCTTCTATCATAACCTTGTTCAGTTTTTCAAACAGCCAGTCAGCTTCTTTCTGTTGTGAAAGCATCTCCTTCCGTATAGCTATGCATGCTTGAAACTTTTCATCTTCAGAGGATATAGAGCGTAATGAGGTCTGAAGCGCCCGAATGTTTGGAGAAGCAGGATTGAAGTCGAGTATATCGGTACTTTGGAGGCTTAGCTTTGAACAGGTACTTCACTGCAAGACCTACTTGTTCGTTGTCCTTTCCATCTTGTGCAATGCCAAAGGCTGGATGGTAGACTACCGTGCCCTCAAACAGCTTATATACCTTAGGGGCTATTGTTTTCAAGAGGTTACTAACCCTTGCTTCTGATGTGTACGGGGATTAGGTACTATTGGTAGTGCTACGCACGTGCCTCTGCTTTATCTTACATGATGCTAGGCACGCGATAGCTGGCTGACCTTCCTGCCCTTACATTATTGACGTATAGCTACCCAATCTTTTCTTATAAGATCATGAACTATCGAGCACTTGCTATGTATATCCCGCGCTGAGTGCTCATTCAGCTTAAGCGGATGCTCTAGTCTTGAAGTAATAACTCCATCCCCTATCCAAAAAGGCCGACAGACATATCCAGACTGTCCCCATAACTTCTGTATGACGAAAAGTTCGCCGACAATCAACAAGAAGATATTGCAAGTGTCGATATGGAAAAAAGCATTGGGTCTCTTGGGTACCTTCTCTTTCTCTCGCCGATTCGGAGAAAAATCTTGGATAGTGTGTCCGCCTTCGACGCAGCAAAGTTAGTTAACTTGAAGTTGTGCGTTTTGACTGCGAAGGAAAAAGAAAGATATCTTAGGCCAATCCGAGATCTAGTATGGGATGTACCTGCGGTTGAAAGACTTTCACGAGAGGGCATGAAATTGATGTTGCTTGGAGACGGCGCTTGTGCACTCGAGCAGCGGTTGCGCGCGACGGAACGTTATTTGAATTCTCGCGGGAATGGAAGACTCACAATCTACTTATTGGGCACATTCCCAGTTTTCACGCCAACAACGACGACGCTCGACTCACTAGTCGAATTCAGCACTACAGGACATTCTAACCCTGTACGGTTTAACTGTGACAAGTATCAACTAGGCCGCGTTCGCGCTGTTTCAGACATAAATGCGAAGGGAGACTTTCTTATGAGTTTTAGTGCGCCAATGCAAGCGTCTCCTAATCCTATTAAGGGGTCTTGGTATAAGGTAGACGATGTTCCAGATCGTACAGTTGATTTGTGGGTGTATGTGCCTTCTTTGCGCGACCGTTTTCGCAAAGAAGTTAGGCTAACACCACTGGACGTGCTGCGGATGATGGGAGCAAACCCACTATCCGTGTCACTACCGCATTTTCCTCTAAAACCAACGTTCATTACGACATGTATAAAAAGAAACACTCGCGGTGCAGCACATAGTGCTTCGCTCAGTTCACTAGGTTTCATATTAATAATGAGCCAGCTATTTCATCTATATACCGGACGCTGTCGGTTAAGGAAATGGTCGCTTACAGCTACGGGTGTACAATTGTTAGAATTAACTACCCTGGATCAGTTTTTAAACGACGAGGTTTCTGCGCGCCAGCTGGTCGCACACTATAGAACATCTTCGTTTAGTGTTGATTCGGGCTCGCGCGCAACGATCGATTTCACGCAAGTGCCAAACATACAGCTCTTCCTTGAAGTAGCCAAATTTAGCACCCTAGGCTGGAGAGTCACTCTAAGTTAATATTTGAGTCGCTGGAGGCAGCGATCACCGCAGGGCCAAGGATCACGTGATTAGCATCACACTAAAACCTTGTCATTAGTGATAGTACTCTAGATGACGGAAGGGCTAATTACATAAGATGTGCATGCTGCGTACTGTTTTATAATATGTGCACGATATAACACATAATTGCGAACCAGTTACGGGGTCTAATAGTAGTTCTATCTAAGTCTAGACCGCTTACTTAACTATTCTAGACAGCCTATAGGTAAATATATGCTGCTTAATTAGTGGTCTGCCTGCATAAATAAAAGCCCTTATAAAAATGCATTTCGTAATAGAGTAGACCTTAAAATATTAAGTTTTGGAATATATAATGCAGATTGGAACATAGCCTTTACTAGTCAAGCCTACAGCTTAGAATTGAATTTTCACTTAACCTCAAAATGCGATATCAACATTGGTGTTTTATAAGCGCATTTTTAGGAAATGTCCTCGCCCAATCAACAATGACTATTAATCTTCAGCACAATAGGGTTGAACAACCTGATTGCCCGCGAAGGGTAGGCAAATATTAGGCGCTTATAGTCAGAACTAACAGGTAGTTAAAGTTGCACTTCTGCTCGGAGACGGCATGGAGGCAATGTGCTGCTCCAATTATATCGTCGGACCGCTGCGTCGCCGCTGACAGGCTTAATGATGTCGCTTCCATTGCAATCGACTTAGGTTTATGCTGCCAGTTCTTTAGGTATATCTGATCTTATATAAAGTCTATAAGTAAGCCTCTAATTTTCTAGTGACGATACATGCAATACGGTATATAAAGTTGGAGAAGAAGAAGAAGGACAATGGTATCCTGGCCTAAAAGAAGTGTCTAGTACTTTTAAAGAGGGAGTAGGCAGTTACATGTGCAGAAATGGGACTACTTCGTCGATTTGTCCAGGGGCAGGTGCTGGAAATTTGATCATTTCCAACAATGCGGCTACTCCCACCATTCTCACGACATCTTCTAAGGTTGTCTAGCACACAGCTGCTTATTATCTAGACTCTTCTTTGTTATTAGTTAATCTGGCTCCTGTAACCAAGTGCGCAGAGCTAGTCGTATAGCTGTTATGCATCCTTACTACACTTTCTAAAAAATAGAATTTACTAACTTAAGTACATCTTATATCCTACTAGTCTTGAACTACAAAGCATTTGATTGAATAATAAACTTCCATACTGCTAAGCCAAACGAGAGGACTAGCTGCTTTCTTCCAGCGTGTTGTATAGACTATGGACATATTGAATAAAATCATCCACATTTATTGCCACTATTTCCTCCAGTAGTCGATTGTAGATAGCTTTGATCACATCTGACACTTTGACCAAGTTCGATTGTACTGCTGAAGCGTGGTCAACTATTGCTTGCTGTTGCTCCATGAGATATTGTTTTATCTCTTCATCCGCTGGTGTTGCCTTGTCTAGATTGTTACGATCCTTCAACAAGCGGAGGACACCTGTAACTATCGTCCTACTGAGTTCTAGGCTGGTCTTTGAAAGACTTTCTAGCGGTAATTTCGTCTGGGCTATAGCGTGGCCTTTATAACTAGCCACTTCCTTCTTTGCCTCTTTGGCGATTTTGGTCTGTTCTACCGTCCTTGGTAGGCTGTCAGTGGCAATGCGTTCTTTGCCTACAATCTCTTTTTCTAGTTGAGCGTTTCTCAAGATAAGCTGCTCTTGTTCGGCCTTTAGACTCTTGATATCTGCTAAGTATCCTTTTTCTCTCTCGGCGTTTTGCAAGTCTCTAACCTCTTTTTTCAGCTTGGTTACCACTTGCATCGAACTCTTGTCTTTTTCTTTGTGATACTCGGCCTTTAAGCGGAATTCCTCAGCTTTAGCGAGTGCAGCTTGATGTTTGCTTTGAAGTCTCTCCATCTCCCCAATAGTCTTGCTCAACTGCTTTTCTACTTCCTCCAGCTCTCTTGCCATATGAGCGGTATTTCCAAGCTTTTCTAGGCGTTGTTTTTCTTTCTGAACCGTTCGACCAGCACGCATGCTGTTTTTGGCCTCTAAGCGAAGTTTGTTATTCGTTGTAACAAGTTGATGATTTATCTCTTCGAGTCGTTCTTTATCGCTTCTAAAGGCACGCTTGAGCTCGTTATGCTGGACTTCCCTTAGCAGAGCACTCGACTTCATCTCTTTTATTTTTTTGATCAGCTCTGTTGTTGGTTCATCATTTGTGACTCCAGCATTAGTCTTGGTGACAGCACTCTGGTGAAGACTCTTTGCTCCAGTATTAAGGCTCACAGCGCCCTGACGCCATTGGATTCTTGACCAGTTCTCGGCAGCGGTTCGGTGGTGGAAGAATGCAGTTGCCTGCTGGTAAGCCTGCTGTTCTTGCTCTAATCGATTTTGGACACATGCAATGTTGGATTGTAGACAGTAGATATGATGGTTGAGATTGACGATTGTCTCATTAGCCATGATTGTCTGAGAACTTTGGGCTTGGAGTTGATATTCGTAAATGCCATTCAGCGTACGCGCTTCGAAAAGTTGGTATTGAGTTTCTTGAAGCTTGCTAAGAACTTGATAAACTTGGTTCTCTAACTCTGTGTTTCGCTGGTTCACAGACGCTATAATTTGCGCGGGCTCCATGCTGAAGATCTTGCTTGTACTGGACCTGGCTGGGTAATGTATAGTCCTCGTTTGTGAAAGTTAGGATCAGTAGATTTTCGCGAAAGATGAGATAGAAAGTAGGTAAATTTATGTGAGGTATTTTTCTTATCGTGTGGCGCAATGATCAGGAGGTTAGAGGTATACTGGGGAGAATAAAGCAACTGGTTACCGCGTTGAGCTAGCGGTGAAAGGCCTGCAATGGTTACTCAATTTTCTGTTGGAAAATAACTCAAACTACTTCGATTAAGTTAATTCGATCGGGCTCAGCCTAGTGCTCTAGTGGGCGCCAAAAGGCAAGACCTTAGAGAGCTGTTAACTTGTTCATACTGCCTAACCAAATAATGTGCATAGGCGAAAGAGGCAATTTTAATAACTAATTGAAGCAGCTGTCCTACACGCGTTCTCTAGCGTCGCGAGTTGGTTGCGGACCTTCTTTTCTTTATACTTCTTGCAAATGCTAAAAATACAGGAGTACTCGAGATTACAACCTTGCGTATATCATCTAACACCCCGTATTCTTCTACAACATTGAGTGTATTGGTTCCTGCTAGTCTCCTCTGAATCCAGTACTGTGCAAGCCTCACAATTGCATTTTCTGGTCGGGCACGTCGAGACTTGTACTGCTGCAGCGTTCCCTGGGATACATCGTGCCATGTATTGTCTCTCAAGATGGTTGGAGGTTGAGCCTGAGAACTTGCAAGGTCAGTATCTTCTGGCGTTGCTAAGTCCCTAGTTGGAGTTTCGAGTTGCCCAATTTCTTCGCAAAAATCTCGACTAAGAGATGAGATAGCCTTTGCAATAGCAGCATTGGCTTCACATAGCTCCCAGATGTGTGGTACGAGCGATTCAGTAGACGCTTGACTGATAGTTTGTAGCGCAGCCCTGATGTTAGGGGTGTTATTCGCCATACCAATAGATCAGGATGCAGGAGCTGTGGAGTCTGCGTGTTTCCAATATAGGATGAATATATACTCTTAGAAATGGCAGTGAGATGCATCATTGCGAGGTGCAATCAAACTGCAGCAAGCCTAAAAAAAGGCCCTTGACTCGATTAATAAATACTCATGCAGATCCACAAGGTGACTTTACGTCTTGGAGTGGTTTCACTAGCTTTTTCTTAGTGAGATCTTGACTGAGTACAAGACCATTCAGGTACGTTCTGTCTTGTAAAACTGTTGCTAATTAGGCTCGGATCACGACAGTATCAAATCGACAATATCTAGGGTGTAAAGTCTTTTCTTTTGTCGACCATAGGACTCGTGTGAGTGGGTTCATTGATAGCACTTCCTATGACCAGGCTCTTAGTGTTTCGCGAGCTAAAATAACATAACAAGGTGAGATTGTATAAGGCTTCGCATATCTTCAAAGCAGGAAGTAGCTGAAAATATACATACACCTGAATTTTTCTGTTATATGACTACTCATATCAACTCGTACTCTTTGACTAGCTCCTTCCACAGCATTGAGTCTTCTAGTGACCAAACCCGATTCAAAGCCTCAAGATTTCGAGATAAGATTGAATGACTTGGGAGAAACTTGGACAACCTTTTGATAGTATAACGATAAAGTTTATCCATAGCCTCATCTGTGAGTTTTGTTTGCTCAGCGATCCATGGATGAATCGCAGAGAAACGAAGAGCACGCAAAAGTAAGGCTTTCTTGAATAGTCTAGAGAATGTTAGTATTAGAGATAGCTTGTTAATGATTGAGCAACTTGCGTATGGCCAGTGTTCACAGGGTTACTCAGCATTACTGTGCTACAACTTGTGTCTTGATACATCTCGTATGTGCTATTAGTAGTCGCACCAACACGGTCAAAGCAGACGATACTGGAGTGAGTGAACATCACCCAGAGGGCGACGACTTCGAGAATCCATTGCTGGCCTTTCGATAACTGAGCTTCGGTAGAGGGGACATGGACTTGTAGTGCAATACCCACATATGGCCTCAACAATTTAACCATACCTTCGCAGTGCTCTGCTTGTAGCGAAGCTACGAGAGGATCAGTTGGTGGAGGCCCAATATCTTTCCAGGCCATTTGTGAGCTTAGAGTCGATCTCCAATCTTTCAAAGTGACAATTTGCATATCTGTGATACTCTTAAGAGTGCACAGGGTCTTTTCACTTATCTCCATCGTTGTGGGGAGGTGCAAACGCACACAATCGTGGAAATTATCAAATATGTCTTGGAGAGAAACCTTTGTCCAGAAAACCCTTTCAGGAAACTCTCCAACGGTCGTCCAGAACCAGGGAGCAGGAATAGTGCGGTTCCAATCGAAGCAGTTGTTAGTACCACTAGAAGGAGAGTTAGAAAAGTACGAAAACTTGTATTGGCAACTGACTTTACTAGATTCTGACAGATCCAGGTACTCCTTCCTGCCTCTTTAGTCAAAGAAGTACTGGTGAATGCTGTTAGCCTAAACTTGTAGGTAATAACAACTAGTCTTACTTCTTAGCAACGTCTCTGTAAATGTCGCGAGCGTTGGAAACGTGCGCAATGCTATCTTCAAGCATTCCGTTCTGGTTTGTCCATAGTGCGGCCAGAGTTAAGGCCTGCGCAACCAGGATGTCGCGCTCTCCAAGTTTGTACTTGAAGATATCTTTCGCGTACGAGTAATACACTGAGCCTGGCAAGGGACTTGAGCTTCCTATACTATTGGTAGTTGATTGAAAGCTTCCTAATGCAAAAAAGAGGAGTACACAGGCATTCCTTGGATTCGGGATGATCCCTTTCACCATTAGGAGATCATTGATGAATTCGTCGCACATCTCCTGAGGATTGTCAAAAATTGGGTGCAGAGTATGCACATTGGTAACGTAGGACACAGAAAGCCGGTGTAGCTCTTTGCTCAAGAAAGCTTCAGTTCCGTGGCCTCGTTGAGGGTCAATTGGTATGACTGAACGACCTCTACCGAGCCCTTCTAATTCGCCGTGTGTACCGTAAAGTTGAGGGTCAATTGGTATGACTGAACGACCTCTGCCGAGCCCTTCTAATTCACCGTGTGTACCGTGAAGCTTCTTGTACCCAGCACTAGGGAGATTTTCCAAGTTGGGCAAAGATCTTGGCTCTCTATAAGATGTTAACAAGGCTGATAATCCCACTGAGAAGCGACATACGTGGCGGGTTCAATGTTATAATACACGCACTCAGTGCCGCGACGACAGCATGTTTTGCATGGAGAAGCTCTATTGCATTTCACCTTGCGAGCAAAGCATGACTTGCAAGCTCTTGGAACTCGAGTCCTGGAAGTTCTCCATGATTTTTCGTTGGTGGAACTGGAGTTTTGATCCTGCGCATCCGGAGCAGGTAGAAGAGACATCTTGCTAAAAACTAAGGCTATAATTGAGCTAAATTGCAAATTTTAAGAGAGGCAATACTCTGTAAGAACGTCGAGAAGCGTCTGAATGAACGCAGAAGATAAAGAGTGGTTAAGGAGTAGCAACTGATGGTGGCCAAGGTTGTTAGAAATCCGGAGTAAGTGCAATTTATGAGAGTGGAAGCTCATGCCAGCACGGATGCAAGGTTAGACGTCTACAGCTATCAAATAATGTTCATCACTAATCTATTGAATGGACAAGCATTTCACTGCTCATATCGCCACTGAACGCCACCTTTCTCCACTATTTTCCTCCTGCTCCTTTCGGCTCAACTATCTGTCACGCTAATGGCTCTCGTGACATGCTAGGGACCAAACTCGCCCGTATGTCACCTCAACAATTGCAATCATGACATAGTCCTATTGGTTGGGAAGCACGATCTGCTTGAAGCAACCTAGAATATCACCGTTTTGATGTGGTTGGAGGAAACCCGCATATGATACCATGGAGAAGATGCTGATGAAAAATTACGCTTTAATACTAAGGAACACAAGACTACATTACAAGGTGACTCATGAGTCAAGAATAGAGCAAACTTCTGCTTGAAGCACTGGAGAGCAGTCGTCCAATCGAACTCCTTCGCGTACTCCAATAGGCAAATCATTTGGTAGGTTGCCCCGATAAATCATAACCTTGGTATCCTTGGGCTTCTTCTTGTACTTCAGCAGCTTCGGGAAGGTATGCCCACCAATCATCTCCTGTAGTTGTTTCGCGAGGCGCGGGTGTTGAAGAAGCGCGTCAAGATCCACTAGTCCTAAAAGGATTATAGTGTCTGAGCGAGTTGTGACAAGTACTTCGTGGCCGTGAACACCATCAGCAGTCGAGAAGAAAGAAGCTACAGCTACGATTCCAGTGACGTGCTCGGGAAGACTATTCCTTGCCTGGAAAAGCGATTATATGAGTATTTCGCCGGGAGCAGCATGCTTAAGAGTGGATCAGCTTACAGTTGAGGCTGGGTCGTCAACATCTTGGCTACGTTTGTCGTTGGCCGTCAGGGTCTCGGTTGACTGAGAAGGTGACTTCGTGTCTGGTCTGCTAGACCGGCTTGCGGTCAAGGTTAGATCGTCAGTGTGTTGGCTACGTCTGTCGTTGGCCATCAGGGTCTCGGTTGACTGAGAAGGCAACTTCAATCTCGTGTTTGGTCTGCTAGGCCAACGACTAGACCCTGACTGTCTCGGGACCTGAATACATGAAAAGCAGAATCGCAGCCTGTTTATCAGTGTTTTGGTAACAGACTGTATATAATTAGGTTCTGTATTCAAGAATGTGTCCCAGGATCCTTACTGTGATTGTATAGTGAATCGGCTTGCAACATCCCTTATCAAACTCTTCCATCTTTCTTACTGTTTCTTTGTGCATTTCCGTAGAACTGAAATCACGTCTGCGGAATTCTTCAAAAGCCAACACCACGTCTTCATCTGCCCCATTTATGGTAGAGCCGAGTCCAACGGGTTGCGAGATAGACGTTCGAACATAGTGGGTACTGCCATCGCAATGAACGCCAAAAAAAGCCTTGATTTCTGGCTTCAAGGTAGCCAGCTGCTTGTATTCATCGTAAATATATTCAACAGTAGCGTTGTGCTTGCTTGCGTGGTACCGATATGGCTCGGGATGGGCGAAGGACTTCGAACAACTCTTGCATAGATAATTCCCGTTCGCTATGGTATGTCAGCTTTCATGTTTGCTTGAATTGCGCGAATGGTTCGAAAACAAAGTGTCTTACAATCAGGGTGAATGGTAAGGGCTTTTGGGCTTGGTTGGTCCTCTGAAGCATCAGGCTGAAAGTTTAGCTCCTTATCCTCTGAGTTTAGCTTGAAAATAGTGACAAACCATTTTGATAGTAGATCGAGCTTGAAAGCAGGCAACCGGTGAAGGACGCGAGGACGGTGAGGCAATCAACTGAAGGACGTTTTAGCCTTGCAGGAAGGGTGCAGGATATATGGATACTTCAGCCACCAGATCGAAAGCATTTGTCAGTTGTTCCCGACACTCAGAGGCCACTGTCGGGCAGGTGGCGCTTGCCGACGAACGGCATGAACGGCATGGGGCAATCCACGCGACACGCCTCCAATAGCTTGGCTAGGCGCTGGAAACCATCATCAATCCGAGCAAGAGAGATGTTATCCATGACACCGTGAATAATACTACAGGAGCGCATTGTTGACTTACGCTGTCCCGAGATTAGCATGACAGACTTAGTAATAGTGGGTCTCATCACAGATTGCGTGGCCTAAGGTCATTGAACACTACGCTAGTCAAAGCCACATAGGGCGATACCGCGGGTTTGGTATGATGAAGCGATCAGCACATGTAGGAAGATCATTCAATGAGGCAGTTGATGCGTTAGAAGTGAGGTTACTCGGCCCGAGCCTCTGGGAACGACGATGTGAGCACTCGTAGCGTGAGTGAGTAGAGGTGCAGGCTCTCGAAGTGGATACGCACTTGCCAATTATCACGATTGAGATGAGTCTTCAATCTTAGCTAGAGACTGTATTGATTCGTCCAGGCCTTGAATCTATACATAATTCAAATCGGTTTGCAAGAACAATGTCAGCTCCTCCTCCAGTCGCAAAGAGAGGCACTTTTGGCAATCCTCTAAGCCATAGCACCGATGAAGGGACGTCACACAAACGCCTGCCACGACTAGACCATCTCTCTCTACCAATGACAAGGGACGAAATGCTGAGTATTCAAAGTTGTTTCTTAAGATAGGGCGAAAGTTGATAAGTACGCAGGTTTGGCCTTTGGCAGTCCATACAAAGTGGACCCTTGTGTCTTTTTCCACCTCCAAAACGGCATGCTCATCAATGGCCTTAGCCTGTAGTTGTACGAGCTGGCCGGAAATAGACTGGAACTTCACTGGCACAATTATCGTGTATTTGGCGTCCCTCGGGAATTCAATGAACGCTTCAACAGCATTCGCCGCCTGTTTTTGGATTAGCGGTGATATCAACAGGGCTTGCCCACATACGATCGTGTTGTCGACAGGTACCACAGCCTGAGCCATCTGAAAGTGAACGTCGCGCAGATAGGTAGCCGGTGAGGGTCTGAAAGGGTAGCAAGGCAAAACTCAAAGGATATTTCAGCCTTGTCGGTTTCATAGATATATTTACGTCAAACTTCAGGCCTTACTCTCTCCCAAGCCTTCAACCCTGGCGACACCAAACCAAGCATAGAATAGCTTAATTGAGACATCCATAGCAACGAACGAGGGGTGAACGTGGGTACGAGTCTATAATACCTTGAGCAGCAACTTCATGCAGGGCTGGCGGAAAAGAAGCTGTCTGGGCACTTTTCAAGGCGTAGCGCCCTCCACAACATGCTAATATCGATTTAGTAGGCATGATATGACTCGCAACTAATGACGTCCCCGGATAAGCATAGCAGACTTGGCGATATCATGCCCTTCACAGCTTATGAAGCCTGCAGCGGAAAGGCCTCTGACTGAACGCTACACCGATCAGATTCATGCAGGGCGGTACCGCGGGTTTGGTAAGGTGACGAAGCGATCAAGAAGTGGCAAGCACGGTAATAATGTGCTTAGATAACATCTAACTCTACTAGGCACAGTCACTGAACGATGGATTTACGCTTATGCACAGAAGGGTGGGGGCTATCCCTGTATGACAGGAGGTTCCCAAAGTAGTTTAGTTTTGATCACCCGCACCGGGTATTCAAATCTAAACTACTTTCAGGATCCCCCTTCACATCGACTTCGCGACCATCACCGCTTCCTCTCTGTGAGAAATGGCATGTTCTGAGTATGAAAAGGAGTTGATGAAAGCATTGAGCCTGTGCAAGCCATCTGATGTCATCAAGAACGAAGTTAGTAGTCTCTTTCGAATCAGTGCTGGTGTATAACTTAACAGTACCTAGGCCTTGCTCCGATGTTTCCGGCAATTCATAGAAAACGGAACTGTAATTGAGTGGTGTAAGATTCTTCCAGAGAGCTTTGGGGCTCACGATGTGTCCACGGCTATCCAAAAGCTCCGGGCGCCGGTTCGCGCCGCCGATGTAGTCACGCAACAGCCACAACAGCCACAACAGCCACGTGATACCCCTAAACCACCAAACGAGCAGTACTTTGAGGGGTTCGTTTCAGAAAAAAGGAGGTTGGAAAGGTTGTATAGAATTGCTCAACGCATGACTGGCGTTGAGACAACGATACAGATATGCGAAGACCATAAAGACTTAATTCAAGCCGATCCGATCATACAGGCAAAAGCGATATACAAGAGAATAGAGGGGCCTGCGGATGGAAGTAACCTACTCTATCGGCAGCACGTTATTCTTTTCGGAGATGCAGTCGACCGATACGCAGCTTTGCGGCCAGTGCAACTCTCAAGAGGACAAAACTGCAAAACCGCCGCTTTCGAAGCGATCGCTGAAGGACTCAAAACTGAAAAGAAAAAGGTGGCTAAGAAGTACACTCACTCTCGCCTTTACTTGAAGTTTGCAGAAATTGGAGGGCCAGGTTCTCTTTATTCAATAGATGGCTCCAAGTGGGAGTAAGCATAAAAATAACCAAGTTTAGCATTCTCTAACGTGTTACAGCATGGAAAATACCAATGAAGAAGACATAGAGTTGCTCTGCAACTACAGGAAAGAAAGGCTACCAACGGTGGAAGTGCGATCACAGGCTCTTGATTTTGTGGTCATCAAAGATTTTACACGGAATCTCCTGGCTCAAGGGGCAGATGCAGCCGAGATTACAGCAGGCCGCACCGCTTTAACAAATTTGATTTGTCGTCACGTAGAAATTGCAAGGTTTATACAGGATGGCACTATACTTCCAGCACGCACAAGCGTATACAACAACGAACAGCCCCAGCGTACGTCTCCACGATCTCCTGTAAGACCTGGATCCGGAATGGATATCAGAACGCCTTCCCTCACCATGTCTTTCGATCCGCAAAGACCAGTACCATTCCACCATGCTCTACAAAGTCACCAATCATATCGTGCTGCGGAGACACGCGCGAATACAGCCAAACGACGAAGGATCTCTAGGGATGAAGGCTTACAAGCCCTAACAGAGTCAGACAGCATACAAGAAGATGAGCAGACATACTTTACGCCTCGTTCACAAGCTCCACAACTTACTGCCGGAGCAAGAACCTATGATCAGGGAAATCATCAAACTGAAGAAACCCCAAATGCCCTTCAGTTATTGGAAAATGGTAACGAATTAGAGGCTACTGCTGTCGAACTGCGCCAGCAGCCATCCACATACATCAGCTCATTTCAAGATGAGCAGTCTTCATACACTTTTCGAGGCCTAGAGTACGGACCGGGATCATCGTCAAATACTTTAAATGGGATATTGGATCAATTCTGTCCATCAGAAAATGAAGACTCAATGAGGAAGGCGAGCAGTGCACTGAGCTCCAGTGATGTCAGGGAGGAAAAAGATCAAGATGGCAGCGAATTACCTTCGGTGGTGGTCAGGGATGTTCGCATTGGGGAGCAGCGTTTAGAAGATCTCGATTTGTTTACTTGCTACTAGTTAACATCATCCGCTGGCTCAATAAACAGTTTTTGAGTCAAAATTGGAGTGTGTAATGGCACTGGCTGGTACATGACCTCTTCGAATACTACAACAACTACATCGTGTTGCAATATTACTTCATCGGCCTCCCCAGTCGACTTGCTTCGCAACTTTAGCTTCGCGTTACTATGAGGCGCATGGAAAGGTTGAAGAATAAGAATATCGTGTTTCGAAGTCTCCAGCCAAGGAGGTGATTGCTGAGAGCTTATCTCCACTCGGAGGACTGTGGGAGGAAGTTGATATTCTTCGGGCTTAGCCTTCCTTATCTTCGCTTTCGCGAAATCTGCTACTAGGCGCTGGACATCTCGCACCTTTCTCGAAGTTAGAAAGTATCATCAATGCTATAAGTATCTAGCATACTATCGTGTTGTTGAGCGCAGTCCTGAAAGGAATCGTTACTTCTCCAGGAATATGCGAGAGTGCTATCTGTGGCCTTGGCGTATTGTTCTCAAAGTCCACTTCCTTCCATTGATCTTTTGGCAGCAAGGCGATCTTTTCAGAAATTTTGCGGGCTTCTTCTGTGAGATTTGTAGGTATAAGCTTAAATAGTACCATGACAATGTTGGCTTTGCGAAGCAGGAGGTTAGATGGTGCACAGGCAGGCGCCGAGCTTTTAACATCTCTACATGACACGTGCATTAATGATCATTTCAATGGAAGACGTGGCGGTGCATGCGGGGCACTTCTATGAATTTAGGTGTCGGAAGAACAATGTTCCTTCGCTTGTCTGCTATTGGCTAGCACTTTACAAGTAGACGAATCACTGCGTTCCATTAGGTTTCTTATCATTTTGACCATAATTATAGTACTCGTGGTATTCTTGCCCCATCGCAGAACTATTCGAGACCCTCAGAGTTCCGACAGGAACTGCCACAGAAGTTTGAGCAACGGATTCACTTTCTTCTTGAGTGCTGCCTTGGGCTTGGCCTCTGTCGCCATTCGTTCTGCTAGTGTTTGTCTGATCCGCTGAAGCACCCGTACCCGAATCATTAGAACGATCCGATTGGTTGCTAGTCACGGTGGGGAAGCTTCCGTGCGCGAGGCAAAAGTACCAACAGCTGTCAAACGTAAGCAGTGAATCTGTATTACATTTCTTACGATATTCACAAATAACTAGGAATTATTCTTGCAGCATAAAGTCTGTCTGCAGAGAAAGGAGAAAATTGTCTTGTGGAAAGTAGCAACAAATGTTGAACAGTATTCATCACGCCGAAAAGCAGTGAGAATGCTGCTGCCGTCGCCCTTACCATTTCATAAACCCTATCATAAGAACAAATACTTTGCTAACTTACATTAAACGATAGGTGTACGGGATCAAGCCTTTCCTTATGTTTTGGGTTCTAACAAGTGAGTGAGGCTATGGGTTGATCGGCTAGCAAGCCAAGAAGCGACAAGGAACTGATGAAGTCGTTTGTATGGGGAGACGATTTCGATGCGCGACACAATGAATAGTAGTACTAAGCGCTCAATCTACTGATAGCGTGTGGCACAAAACACTGGGTAGCAAGTACTAGCACGACGTACTAGAGAACGATGATTGTATAGACGATGCAAAACGATAGAAGAGTGGATTAAGCAACTAAAAAATCTGAATTGATCGCTGTCCTTTATACTTGCCTCTATCACCTCACTTGCATTTGATATTCCTTAGATTGCCCAGAACCACGCCCCTTTCCTATACTGCAATAGATCAACCCGTCTGCAAAAGCAACAAGCATTTGTTGTATCCTTGAATCATACCAAGGTGCATGGTCCATGTCGCTCTGGCTGCATAGATGTTTGATTTTATAGAGTGGCTTGCAGACTACTCCGTTTTTGGTGTAGATTAAGACGGTGGGTCTTTTGACATGACTGCTTACGTGCGAAAATGAAAATTTCAATTTCGAAAATGTAGCGCCAAGATATCAATACTAGTATTTACGGCCTATGTGTCACCATAACGTGAACACGTGCGCAAGCCAAATCATAAATGATGCTAACTCTGCAAAGCAATCGCATACTCATATGCGCCGCTCTATGTTCCCTATGTCCCCTGCCCTCTACAGAAGTTTTGTACGCGTCGCTTCTGACGTGGGCACGTGACTTTGAGGCGGGGTCAAAGGTGGGGCATAAGATCTGTTTGCGAAGCCGCCTGACTTATGCAGATGTCTTTCGGGCAGCAATGTTCGACAGCCATATCTTTCTGGTTCCATCTAACGAAATATATACCATACTGCTCATCACAGTTCTCCTCGCACCGCTCCTAATACTAATACTATCTCTTCACCTTTACAAACCAACGCCACAACCACCTCGGTTCTTGCGACATCACGCTCCAATTCCGCCCAGGCATATAGTGATAGCTTCGCGATTCGCGAAAAATTCCTTACCTGTTCTAATCATGGCGGTGTGTTATGTCAATTCTTTCGTCCACATTCGCTGCTAACTGAACTAGAGGGGCGATAAGGCTCTTGCCGGCGAAGAAGAGAAGGACATTCCTGGACACCTATTCCCTCCAGACTCTTCAAAAGACCGAACGATATGTTTTCGAGGACTATATCTATCGATAGTCAACAAGGATACGAACGACGTGAAAACACATATAGACAATACCACCGCTACAACTCAGTATAAAGCCTACGAAATTCCGGCTGGATATACATGTTATGTCAGGGGTGCTAGCGTTTATTTCAAGACTTAAGAGGAGAGAGCTAGTTGTAGGGAGAACAGTTCTATCAGTCGATAGCCATCATCATGACCGCACCATATGGTAAGAGATACGTCTTGCGTGTGATCTTTTGGGAACAACAGAGCGAAAGTTCCTGTACACTTTAATCCTTGATCCCTTTCCCATTTCCAGAGACGACTGTTTTGAATGACTGAGCTGAATGGTTCAGGTAATGCTGAAACCTCGTGTGACAATGCATTTGTGTACATATACTTCATTGCTAAACACTTGACCATTAGTAATGTATTGTACGCGTGACAATCTGACTCACCCCTCTCTTCGTGCGATAGCGAGTTTGCTGGTACTACTGTGTGCCTTTCGGCTTCATTTTGTTGTCGCATGCCGCTCCTTAGACCATGATTTGGTTCTAGGTCTTAACGATATTAGCTGTTGACCAACCTCTAGAAGCTCAACGTACCAGTGCAAGGGCGTTTCAAAGTTCTAGCATGCTCTACTTCTTGATGCTCTACTTCTTGGTGCTCTACTTCTCGGTGCTCTACTTCTTGGTGCTCTAATTCTTGATACGCTAGAACAGATGTGAGTCGACTTGATACTTATTAGGGTGGTATTGTATACTTCTTTTGAAGGCAGTTCCCGATTTGGCATAACCTGCCACTGCAGCCCGCAATTCTGTACGATGCATCCAGCCGGTAGGTAGCGTGATCGTGTCTATATATTTCGGAGCCATTTCCATTAGGCAAGCAAACACGTCCTGGCTCATTTTTCGGATGTCCAAAACTGTGTAGGAAGCGCTTACAAACATGAAAGCCTTCATCTCAAGAGACCGCAACATCTCAAATCTGACACCAGGGTTTTTCTCATCGCCATGCACCATTGTAACCATTTTTTCAACTCTAGTTCTGTAACGAGCGTTCAAGCGGTCCGTTTCGTGCAGCCATCTCGTAGTGTCTGCAAGCGTTTCATGCACTTGCAGTTCGCAGTTCAACTGCTGCAATTTTCTTCTAATCGCCTCGAAGTCCGTCTTTGTGGCACTAACAGTCCATATGCAGCTTTGTATCGTGTTCAGGTCCGCCAACAGCTTCTCCATAACGTGAAAATTGAAAGTTAACAGCTACGATGCGGGGTGGTTGTATAGTATAAGATCGAAAGTTTCGATGGAGCATGCTGATGTAGCAAGATTCTTGAACCGATAATTTCAATAGTGCAGGTTCACGCGCCAAGATTTTGAAACTGAAATTTTCAGGAATGCAGGTTCATGCGCCAAGACATCAAAACTGCAAAGTTTAAGAACCATTAGCTAACAACCAACCAGCTGCGCAATAGTTAGATTAACTACTCAAACTACCAGTATATTGCCATACGTGGCTTTTTACATGGAATTAAGTACGCCGACTTAGGTTTTCAAGTCGAAATCACTGAGTACTAGCGCTACATCGTTAGTTGATCCCGTGACAGTGCTGCTGTTAGACTATTTCAAGGCCGGGCCGCATAGGGTCAGATTGGCTCAAAATGGGCCAGTTCCTGACAGCTGCAGAAGTAGGCTAGTCAAAAGATTGTGACCAACTCTACTAGCTAGGCCAACCCCGCATGTATATGGAAACAGCAAAAGGCAACAAACCTGGCAAGCCACGCCCTCAGCGTTATCTCTTTCGCTCGTTCTAGATTCGACAATCCGTTATCAATTAGACGAATGCATGTATGCCATGGCGGTATTGCAGAACATGCTATTTCAAGGCCTGCAGCAAAGCATACTTCAAAATTAAATAGGCATAGTTAGTTTAAATCATCATACGTGCAGAGTAACATGCCTTAAGCCTTCCATCTAATAAGGCTTTTCCGTGTTTGTTTATAAAGCTTCGGGTACTCTAGCACGAGACATTCCGCGAAACCCATCTACGATCACACGGGACGTAGCTGCCATTTACTCGTCTGCAGCTACAAGTGCTCTAGCACAGGAGCACCTTATACCTACAATCTGGAATGTATGCCTGTAAAATTCATGTATGAATTGTGCGCCTTGTTAATCCATATAGACGCAACCTACAGACACGCCAAAGAATGTCAGCTAGCTCTGGGGCGACAGGCGTATGCAGCGTGTGCCAGCATGTCAATAATGAGCACAACTATTATATATGCGAAGTCCTAGGCTGTTAGAAGAAATTTAAGGTTTACTAAGCAGGTGGTTACACAGGTTCGAGCAACTAATATGTGCTTTGTAAGTGGTGTATCGACCATCTATACTAGTGCTCCATAATTGATTCATAGGGGATAACGCGTTTAGGGTAAAAGACAAATGTTGTGAGGTCTGAACGTTAGGAGGGTCAGACTTGATTAGGCAAGGTGGCTATTGTTTTGTGGGGTTCCCATGTTAGTCTAAGGCTACCAGTACGTACAGACCTTGCATTAGAAAGATCTGGAAGTCATCCCTTGCGACGAAATCGACAACCACTGCCCACTGAGTCGCGAAGAAAATCCCAGATTTCAAGTAAGCTTCAGATAATTGAATGCTATTACTCTATACTGCATAATCCGAACACAAACGCCAGCTACCAGCCTAAATAACATTGACATAGTTCTACGAGCATTTCTTCAATGTATGGTAGCGCAGTTTTACCGCACCCAGCGTCCGGCTAGGGAAGCGTTTACATACCTCTTCCCACTCCATGCACTGTTTGTCCTTTAACGAGAGTAAAAGTGCTTCTTCTGACTCTAACCATCGCTTGTGCGTCCGTTGGCTGTGTCCTCTCGTATCCTCTTCTCTATTCTCATCCTCTTCGTCATAGCCGTCGTTTGAGCGGTCCGTTCCATGACTAGCAACATCATCATGGGCGCTGCTCATCCAATTCGCCTTCAACCCTCCGCGATCACAGAGATCTGCAGCACTGCCATTACACCGGTATCCTAGCAGCACCCATGAATCCGGTGATAGCTGGGTCATGCGGATAACTTTGCCTTGTTCGCCGAGGACCTTGTGACCGAGGGCTACTAGATCGAGTAAACCACTTGGGTCGCAATGGCGTAATATTACTGACACGACTGAAGAGTTATTTGGAATAGTGCACAGCGTTAGATCGGTGATCTGACAAGACATGCTAAATCCAGATCTATAATCGACATTGATTACATCTTCAGCCGTCGCGCCTGGAGAATTTGATCCTGGAAAGCAAGCTTGTGACCCTGTATTGATATCGAGTCGTTCCGATATTGAATCTTGTTGTGGTTGGCTCAACTCTACTTGTTGCGGTGGCTTCGTAGGTAGTGCATTGTAGTCCAAATTTCTAAGAGCAGTGTTGGATGGCCTGCGTCCTATCTCAGATGTCCAAGCCCTGTGCCTGCGCGGTTGAGATCTCGATAGAGGGATGTCGCATGTCTCACTGTGGCTGGAATTTTCTCCATAGATGTCCCCAGTCTTGCTACCACTATCTTGTCTACTTGCCCCACGCCTGCCGGATTCTTGGTTAACATTTCCTCCTACTTCCAGTCCTTGAGAAAAATTTATGTATTCTTGTGCTTGTAGTCGCTCTTTGACCGTTCCCTGGACATGAGTGCCGTCGCGGTGTTCTTCATCGCAGAAATCAGTCAGAGGGAGGGCTAGACTGAGGGTACAATCTTCTTCATGGCCAGCATTTTGAGGACTAGCAATATAGCCGTCACTAGTACTAATACAAGAAGCTTGGTCGCAAAGATGCAGCAGTGCTGGTTCAGGCGTATAGGTAAGTTCGATTATGGGGCTCGGTGCCTGTTGCTCAGCCATCCTTTGCCGCTTCGATGGATGGGGATGATCAAGCTCTAGATCTGGCACAACGTTCGGCACTGCTTCTGGGCTTATTATTGTATCACCAACCGAAGATTGATGGGATCGTTTTTGGCTTCTTGACGATCCATTCACCACACTAGGGATGCTGGAGGAAGTTTCTTCCTCTACTGTTAGTCCTTCTTTGACTGTGTCAGCACGGCTCCCTATACAAATCAGATTATTCAACTCACCATGATAAGTATCTTCAAAATCTTCTGTAGAGAAAGCGTACTCTACAGCTGTATGGAGATCACTGCGCTGTTTGGCGTGGTCCCTACAATTGGCAGTGGTAAGATACTGGCATTTGTCCTGAGAATTGGGGGAGCTGTTGTAGTGATTGCCAGTCGCGTCATTTTTGGTAATCGAATGTAAGTCTATCTGGCATCAGTGAAATTAGCACCACAATCAACTTGAGTACTTGCCTCGACTGTCTCCATGAAACGACTCATTCAAGCCTGAACCCAATGTTGCTTGGTCTATAACTCCCTCATCGCACAACTCACGGCGAAGCTGATAGTGACTATCGCCCATTGCAAGCTCATGGGTGCCTATTGTATGGTCTAGTCCAAACAAATCGCACTTTTCTGAGTCCATGCCCTCAACTTCTTCCACATGGCTCGTTGTCTGTACCTGTAGTGTCTGTTGAGGGACGGCAGGAAGGTTGTTTTTGCTTTCTAGATATGACTTAGTCCGCATTGATTCGCTTACACGACTAGGGAGCAGGCATTACCTTGGAGTAGCAATCCTAAAGATTGAGTCGCTACTTCTCCATGACTTCTACAAACATTCTGTATAGTCTTCTTAGCCTTAGGCTTAGAGTAAGTACGCTTGAGTAACGTGGGGTTGTAGTGTCTGAACTCAGATGAAGTCTTCTGAGGAACTGAAGTAAAAGTAGCCATGATGAGATCTTGATAGAATCTGATTAAGTCTGGCTGAAAAACAGCGTAGTACCCGAGAGTTTAAGTAGAAAACCACTTAGTGAGCTAGGGGCCTCCCTAAGTGAACAAACACCTAGCTCGGAACGCTAAATTGATTGCAGTAGGCTATCTTCGGTGTCCCCGAAGCGACCTTCTTCATTTACCAGTGTCTTGCTCTTGACTCGACTGCTGCTGCAAAAGCTTCCAAGGGTTTGCATAAGTCTATGAGCGGGTCCGTTCCTGGAAGAGCCAATTACACCAGAGGGAGTGGTCGTGATATCTATTTGACCGAAGGAGTGTGGGTGACGACACCAAAAACCAGAACTAAGATACAAGCATGAAGGCTATCTATTGGACAGCGCTCTACCTTCCGTCAAAGCGGTGGCGGAGACGGCTGTACTCACCCCTCGTAATCCATGCTAACTCGATACCAACGCCGAGCTATTGACTGCAGGCGTCTATGCAGATAGCCTCGGCTGGTCACACTGCAGCGTTACAGAGGAGAAAAAAACCGCTTGACTGCGTCATCGCCAACAGATCCAGCTCCAATAGAATGCGAATAACTCAACTTAGATTGGCCAGCGTGTTGTATAGAAGGACCGAAAGTTGAAGGAGGCAATGTTGAGTGGCCAGAGCTGAGACATGAGCGCCATGGACCTGAAAATATGTCCTTCCAGCTAGAGCAGAAAGCGGGCACGGTTCTGTTCATCTCTCACTTGCTACGCCAACGGCAGTGCCGAGCCGCCATCTGGCTGTCTCCTGACCTCTGCCCCTTGCTTGTCGTACTGCAATACTACAGGCATTACGGACGTGCTATGGATGGCGAAGTATCATGAATCCCCGAGCGCAAGACTAGCGTCTTATGCGAGTGAGAAATGGTATCCAACAAGGAGAATGCCCGCTCGGGCGTGACGCGTCGTAACGAGGCGGGTGGGAGGGTGTGCTCCACCAAAGGAGCACGGTGTAGGAGACAGAGTAACCCGATCTGAGATTAAGGCAGTGCATTGTAGAAGCACTGGTACCTCAGTGATCTAGAAAAAGAAGAGACAGCAAACAGGCTAATCAACCAGCTCGGTAAGAGCTGAGCCTTGCCATAGGCGAATACCGCTCCTTCATCCGTAGATGCAATCCAGATGAAGCTAGTGCAGCAATAATCGATGGAACATAGACGTAGTGGACGATAGGTATCCTGCTAGTATATTCATCAGTATTGCGTTGTAGTAGGAAATCCAGAGACGCGTGGATTGTTGGGACTCAACGCATGCGAAGGCTGGGGTAACCAGACTCTATTAGGACCAAAGAGCTCTAAGTGAAGCAGCCAACTGAGAGAAAAGGGGGCACTAGAGCAGGGCGTTCAGATGATTCCAAGCGGGCAGCCTGGTGTGAAAAAAGTGCCGCTTAAGGATATTTCGCCGTGTGTAAAGGGGGCGGCAACTAGGAGTAGACAAGGGATTGCAGATAGAAGAAATAGAAGTAGAGAGTATTGGGGGAAGAAAACGATAGAAAATGACGCTGGGGAAGGGCAATATATGACAAACATTCGAAGTCAATTTCCTATTTAAGCGTAGTCCAAAAGCTGTACGCGAGTCCCGGATTACCTAAAACGGGTGCGTTAATTTCCTGATATAGGCTTGCCGTCTGATTTTTTACTATAATATTATTTTAGAACTCTTATAGCTTAGAAAATATAACCTATAGATTAACTAGAAATTAAAGGTATTTTAATTTAAGTACTATAGAATAGACGTATCTATAAGCTAGCCTACGTATTAGTAGAGTTTAATAGTAGATAAGAGTAATATTACTAGGTAGTATAATAACACTAAGGAGAAGGTATACTTAAATAGTAGTTCTCTTAAGAGAAAGCTACACTCTATAGATACTAATACTAGCCCTATAGATTAAGAAGTAAGAG